TGGGCCTACCTCACATTTTAAATTTGTGTGTGGTCCACTTGGTGGGCCTACCTCACATTTTAAATTTGTGTGTGGTCCACTTGGTGGGCCTACCTCAAATTTTTAATTTGTGTGTGGTACACTTGGTGGGCCTACCTCACATTTGAAATTTGTGTGGTCCACTTGGTGGGCCTACCTCACATTTGAAATTTGTGTGTGGTCCACTTGGTGGGCCTACCTCACATTTTAAATGTGTGTGTGGTCCACTTGGTGGGCCTACCTCAAATTTTTAATTTGTGTGTGGTCCACTTGGTGGCCTACCTCACATTTTAAATTTGTGTGGTCCACTTGGTGGGCCTATCTCACATTTTAAATGTGTGGTCCACTTGGTTGGTCTATCTCACATTTTAAATTTGTGTGTGGTCCACTTGGTGGGCCTACCTCACATTTTTAATTTGTGTTTGGTCCACTTAGTGGGCCTATATCACGTTTTAAATGTGTGTGGTCCACTTGGTGGGCCTATCTCACATTTTAAATTTGTGTGTGGTCCACTTGGTGGGCCTACCTCACATTTTAAATTTGTGTGTGGTCCACTTGATGGGCCTATCTCACATTTTAAATTTGTGTGTGGTCCACTTGGTGGGCCTATCTTACATTTTAAATGTGTGTGTGGTCCACTTGGTGGGCCTATCTTACATTTTAAATGTGTGTGTGGTCCACTTGGTGGGCCTATCTTACATTTTAAATGTGTGTGTGGTCCACTTGGTGGGCCTATCTTACATTTTAAATTTGTGTGTGGTCCACTTGGTGGGCCTATCTTACATTTTAAATGTGTGTGTGGTCCACTTGGTGGGCCTACCTCACATTTTACGTTTGTGGTTCACTTGGTGGGCCTATCTCACATTTTAAATGTGTGTGGTCCACTTGGTGGGCCTATCTCACATTTTAAATTTGTGGTCCACTTGGTGTGTCTATCTCACATTTTAAATTTGTGTTTGGTCCACTTGGTGGGCCTATCTCACATTTTAAATTTGTGGTCCACTTGGCTGGTCTATCTCACATTTTAAATTTGTGTGTGGTCCACTTGGTGGGCCTACCTCACATTTTAAATTTGTGTGTGGTCCACTTGGTGGGCCTACCTCACATTTTAAATTTGTGTGTGGTCAACTTGGTGGGCCTACCTCACATTTTAAATTTGTGTGTGGTCCACTTGGTGGGCCTACCTCACATTTTAAATTTGTGTGTTCCACTTGGTGGGCCTATCTCACATCTTATATTTGTCTGTGGTCCACTTGGTGGGCCTACCTCACATTTTAAATTTGTGTGGTCCACTTGGTGGGCCTATCTCACATCTTATATTTGTCTGTGGTCCACTTGGTGGGCCTACCTCATATTTTAAATTTGTGTGGTCCACTTGGTGGGCCTACCTCATATTTTAAATGTGTGTGGTCCACTTGGTGGGCCTATCTCACATCTTATATTTGTGTGTGGTCCACTTGGTGTGCCTATCTCACATTTTAAATTCATGTGGTCCACTTGGTGGGCCTACCTCGCATTTTACGTTTGTGGTCCACTTGGTGGGCCTACCTCACATTTTACGTTTGTGGTCCACTTGGTGGCCTATCACAAATTTTAAATGTGTGTGATCCACTAGGTAGATGCATCAGGTCCCTCCCTCCCCCACCCCCCCACCAAACAGAATAGGCTGTAGGATGAGAAGAATCAGATGTTACCCATGCATCAGCCTCCCCCCCCTCCCCCCCCCCACCAAACAGAATAGGCTGTAGGATGAGAAGAATCAGATGTTACCCATGCATCAGCCTCCTCCCCTCCCCCCCCCCCCACCAAACAGAATAGGCTGTAGGATGAGAAGAATCAGATGTTACCCATGCATCAGGCCCCCTTCCCCCCCCCCCCCCCCCCACCAAACAGAATAGGCTGTAGGATGAGAAGAATCAGATGTTACCCATGTATCAGGCCCCTTCTTTCCCCCCCCCCCCCCCCCCCACCAAACAGAATAGGCTGTAGGATGAGAAGAATCAGATGTTACCCATGCATCAGCCTCCCCCCCTCCCCCCCCCCCCCCCCACCAAACAGAATAGGCTGTAGGATGAGAAGAATCAGATGTTACCCATGCATCAGGTCCCTCCCTCCCCCTCCCCCCCCCCCCCACCAAACAGAATAGGCTGTAGGATGAGAAGAATCAGATGTTACCCATGCATCAGCCTCCCCCCCCCTCCCCCCCCCCCCCCCCCCCCACCAAACAGAATAGGCTGTAGGATGAGAAGAATCAGATGTTACCCATGCATCAGGTCCCTCCCTCCCCCTCCCCCCCCCCCACCAAACAGAATAGGCTGTAGGATGAGAAGAATCAGATGTTACCCATGCATCAGCCTCCCCCCCCCTCCCCCCCCCCCCACCAAACAGAATAGGCTGTAGGATGAGAAGAATCAGATGTTACCCATGCATCAGGTCCCTCCCTCCCCCTCCCCCACCAAACAGAATAGGCTGTAGGATGAGAAGAATCAGATGTTACCCATGCATCAGGTCCCTCCCTCCCCCTCCCCCACCAAACAGAATAGGCTGTAGGATGAGAAGAATCAGATGTTACCCATGCATCAGCCTCCCCCCCCTCCCCCCCCCCCCCCACCAAACAGAATAGGCTGTAGGATGAGAAGAATCAGATGTTACCCATGCATCAGCCTCCCCCCCCTCCCCCCCCCCCCCCACCAAACAGAATAGGCTGTAGGATGAGAAGAATCAGATGTTACCCATGCATCAGGTCCCTCCCTCCCCCTCCCCCACCAAACAGAATAGGCTGTAGGATGAGAAGAATCAGATGTTACCCATGCATCAGCCTCCCCCCCCTCCCCCCCCCCCCCCCCCCACCAAACAGAATAGGCTGTAGGATGAGAAGAATTAGATGTTACCCATGCATCAGGCCTTATTTAAATAATATGCCGATTAATTTAAGATTAGAAACTAGTTTATTATTCATGGTCATTGGCCCATTTGTCATTTAAAATTACAGGCGATTTTATTTTATCAAACAGGACAATTTATTGAGTGCATCCAGGCCAATTTCATATTTAAAATTACAGGCAAATGTTTTTCCTAAGAAATTACAAACATAAGCATACTTACTTATTGGACAATGGAAGCAAATTATTTTAATCACAAAAACATAGTTAAGGGTTAATTACAAAAGGTTAATTACTTTTAGGGTTGTAATTAAAATAGTTTGCAAAACTTTTCCTATTACAATTTATTTTTTAAAAATATAAGTAAAAAGGGAACTACTTTAACATAAAGATTCAAACCCCCACCTTTCAGACTTCAATCCTCACCCTGCTTACTCCAAACCCCAACCCACTTACTCCAAACCCCAACCCACTTACTCCAAACCCCAACCCACTTACTCCAAACCCCAACCCGCTTACTCCAAACCCCAACCCACTTACTCCAAACCCCAACCCACTTACTCCAAACCCCAACCCACTTACTCCAAACCCCAACCCACTTACTCCAAACCCCAACCCACTTACTCCAAACCCCAACCCACTTACTCCAAACCCCAACCCACTTACTCCAAACCCCAACCCACTTACTCCAAACCCCAACCCACATACTCCAAACCCCAACCCACTTACTCCAAACCCCAACCCACTTACTCCAAACCCCAACCCACTTACTCTAAACCCCAACCCACTTACTCCAAACCCCAACCCACTTACTCCAAACCCCAACCCACTTACTCCAAACCCCAACCCACTTACTCTAAACCCCAACCCACTTACTCTAAACCCCAACCCACTTACTCTAAACCCCAACCCACTTACTCCAAACCCCAACCCACATACTCCAAACCCCAACCCACTTACTCCAAACCCCAACCCACTTACTCCAAACCCCAACCCACTTACTCCAAACCCCAACCCACTTACTCCAAACCCCAACCCACTTACTCCAAACCCCAACCCACTTACTCCAAACCCCAACCCGCTTACTCCAAACCCCAACCCGCTTACTCCAAACCCCAACTCGCTAACTCCAACCCCCAACCCACTTACTCCAAACCCCAACCCACTTACTCCAAACCCCAACCCACTTACTCCAAACCCCAACCCACTTACTCCAAACCCCACCCCTGCTTACTCCAAACCCCAACCCACTTACTCCAAACCCCAACCCACTTACTCCAAACCCCAACCCACTTACTCCAAACCCCAACCCACTTACTCCAAACCCCAACCCACTTACTCCAAACCCCAACCCACTTACTCCAAACCCCAACCCACTTACTCCAAACCCCAACCCACTTACTCCAAACCCCAACCCACTTACTCCAAACCCCAACCCACTTACTCCAAACCCCAGCCTTCAGACCATAAGCCCCACCTGTCAGATTCATCTCACTACTACCTTGAAACCTTTTTGAAGCTAAGACTGGTAATAATTTAACAACTGCACCACGTAAATACAATATGTTCAAGTAAATACAAAAATTCATGGATCCTAAATACAACACAAGTATTTATACAAACAATAATTCATGTATCCAAAATACAGTAGCAGTATACTAACAATAATTAATGTATCCAGTATACATCAAATAATACTCAAAATAAAATAATACTTAAACAAAAGTATATCACAAATCATGCAACCCAATCATTAAAAACAGATGAATATATGCGTATAACATAGAGACATGTCTACAAAACATACGAAAAAAAGAACATAAAAGTATATCATATAAAAAAAATCCCCATTAAGCTCCCACATCTAGTGATTGTTATAAAGGAATGAAAAATTGCACTGATATTAACTCTTTCTTATAAAAGTTTTTAAAAATTATTTTACCGTGTCACAAGCTAAGAAATAGCAATCTTGTGCTAAAGGGTCTCATATTGTTCCATTCCAAAATAGCTGGTGGGATATTAGTTGGATATTAGTTTAACCACACAATCAAAATGAGGAGATCTGTAGACCCTAATGGAAAGGGGGGGGAGGTCTGTGGACCCCAATGTAAAGGGGGTGGTGGGTGAAATGTGTGGACGCCAATGTAAAGGGGGTGGTGGGTGAAATGTGTGGACGCCAATGTAAAGGGGGTGGTGGGTGAAATGTGTGGACGCCAATGTAAAGGGGGTGGTGGGTGGATCTGTGGACCCCAATGTAAAGGGGGTGGTGGGGGAAAACTGAGTAAAAAAAGACTACTGAAACTACTTTCAAAAGAAAAAGGCAAGAAACGTCAGGAGTTCAATCTGGAGTCATAAACTACAAACTGGAGTCATAAACTACAAACTGGAGTCATAAACTACAAACTGGAGTCATAAACTACAAACTGGAGTCATAAACTACAAACTGGAGTCATAAACTACAAACTGGAGTCATAAACTACAAACTGGAGTCATAAACTACAAACTGGAGTCATAAACTACAAACTGGAGTCATAAACTACAAACTGGAGTCATAAACTACAAACTGGAGTCATAATAAACTACAAACTGGAGAGAACAAAAACACTGGTTTCTCCAACACACACTAACAATGGTGGAAATAAAGTAAAACAGCTGGGTAGAAAAGCAGATCAAGTTGTTCACACATTAGAAGTATGGCAGAGAAAAATTGGCACTGGTCTAATAGATCTCACATGGTGCCATCAAAAAGTTGGTTTAGATTGTCTACTACAGTATTTGTAGCTTCTCAAAACTTGGTTTGGATTGTCTACTACAGTATTTGTAGCTTCTCAAAACTTGGTTTGGATTGTCTACTACAGTATTTGTAGCATCACAAAAGTTGGTTTGGATTGTCTACTACAGTTGTACAATAACAAATGTTGGTTTGGATTGTCCACTACAGTTGTTCAATAACAAATGTTGGTTTGGATTGTCCACTACAGTTGTAGCATCACAAAAGTTTGTTTGGATTGTCCACTACAGTTGTGTTAGCATCACAAAAGTTGGTTTGGATTGTCCACTACAGTTGTAGTATCACAAAACTTGTTTGGATTGTCCACTACAGTTGTGTTAGCATCACAAAAGTTGGTTTGGATTGTCCACTACAGTTGTACAATAACAAATGTTGGTTTGGATTGTCTACTACAGTTGTACAAAAACAAATGTTGGTTTGGAATTGTCTATTGTATCTTGTCACCCCCTGTCAAGTCCAAGCTAGTGCTAGACAAGCTCCCACCATCCTTGTCTGCATGTCCAGGATTAGAATATCTTAAAGTGTCCACCAAAGTGAAACGACTAACATTGCTTTTGTGCTTGTTAGCCAAGTGGCGCCTGAGGTCATACTTGCGCACAAATTTCAAGCTGCACAGAGGGCAGGGAATCGGGTCAGTGCAGGTATGACCCTGTTTGTGGCGCCGTAAGCTGGACTCATGTTTGGATGTGAACGAGCAGTACTCACACATAAAGGGCTTACCCTGCAGGTGTACGGTCATGTGACTTTTCAACTGGCCTTTTGTGCGACAGCGGAAGGAACAGCGAGTACAGAAATAGGGTTTTTCTTTGGAGTGTGTGAGCAGATGCTGCTTCAGCCCAGCGTTCAACTTAAAGGACAGGCCGCACTCAGGACACAAGAAGATCCGCTGGCTGTCGGCCTCTACGTCTTCGTGCCTACGCATGTGCTTGACTAGCTCACACTGGAGACGACACGTAAACATACATTGAGAACACTTGATATTTTTTTCTGTTGTATGTTTAATCATATGCTCTTTTAGTTTAGCATTGGATCGCATGGATTCACCACATTCGGCACAAAGAAAAGGTTTAACATCCGAATGAGTCAGGAGGTGTTCCTTTAGATGGTATTTCTTACGAGCCGCATAGTTGCACTGCGTACACTTGTAAGCTTTAAAGTCCGTGTGGATTAACAGATGGTGGTTCATATCTCCAAGCTCATAGCAGCTGTATGCGCAAAGTTTGCAAGAAAATGGCTTCATGCCGGAGTGGCGCTTTGCATGCCGCCGTAGATTAACTGCTGTTTTGCTAGTGTAGTCGCAGGAGTCACACTTGAACGGACGGTCGTTGATGTGGGTGCTCAAGTGTCTCTTGAGGTGGGAAAGTTTTCTGCAAGTGTACGAACACACTGAACAGTTCATCTTCCTCCTGCCTTTCTCGTTTCTTTTTCTTTGGAAGACAGCTGGTGTAAGAAGTGCTTCAATTGTTGCGGGGTAGCCTTTACTTAAAGCTGAAGATGCAGTGGTTTTTGTCTCGAGATGAAAGTGAACATTCAGGTCTTCAAATTGACCAGTTTTTTGCTTCACTTGAAAACATTCAGTTTTATTATCTGCCTCTACTTCAATGAGAGAGCTTTCAGTGTCACCATTTTCTGCAGCTTCTTCTTGTTTGATCAAAGGTTCAGCATTAGAGTCAGTCATCTGTCCACTGGTATCAACTGCTGCCTTGCTTGTACTGGCTAGGCCAGTTGCTGAGTTTAAATCCTCTTCGTTGATGTGCGAGGCAAAGTGTTTTTTTAGATGATGTTTGGTCCTACAGGCATGGGAGCATTTTTTACACCTGAAAGGTTTGAAGTTCTTGTGTATCATCATATGCTCCCTGAGCCTATTGCGCCGGCGACAGCTGTACTCACACTGATCACACTGGTAAGGTTTGAAACCCGTGTGGATCCACTCGTGTTTTCTCAAGTCATTGATGAGCCAGCAAGTGAAGGGACACAACTCACACGCATAGGGTCGCTGGTCTGCGTGGTCCAGCCTCAGATGTTTCCGCAACAACGGCTGGGACAGAGCCTTGAAATCACAAAACCTGCAGTCGAAATCTTTGCCAGTGCAGTGTTTCTTCATGTGGTTGTTTAACGTTGTCTTGCTGCTGCAGGCATACTTGCACACGGTGCAGGAGTAAGGTTTATAGTTGGTGTGTCTCTTCCAGTGCTGCTCTAAGCGAGATTGTTTTGAGCATGAGAACGAGCACACATTACACATCAGCTTGCTGATATCTAAGTGTGTCACAAAATGTCTTTTCAGGTCCGCACTGGTTTTAAAACTGAGGTCACACTGGCTGCAATGGAATGGCCTTTTGTCTGCGTCTGGGTCGGAGTGCGTCACCATGTGCTCCCTCATTTGTTTATCTGTTCGACAGAAGAATTCACAGTGAGGGCAGGATTCAAACACTAGATCAGTGTGCGTATTCATATGCCGCTTCAAGTACGCAAAAGACTCACACACGTGCTGACAATGTTTGCATGTAAGCTGACTGGTCTCTGGCTGGTACTGGAAAAAGTCCTCGGAATTCTGGGTTTGATCAATCTTATCCACATGGACTGTGTTGGGGTCAAAGGTCAGATTGGGATCTTTGATCCTTCCCTCAATCAAAGCTTCTTCAATCGGATCAAACTTATCACACTTTTCATCATCAGGTGTTTCAATTACCACCAGCTTTTTTTCCGTTTCCATATCTTCTACAAAAGTATCATCATCAAGTTCATCATCTTCTACAACTGCATCATCATTGACTTCATCGCCCTCTACACACTGGATTTGATCAGCTTCCCCTCTGTTTACATCACATATCTGGAGACTTGATTCATCAACAGTTGATAATTTTGTTTTCAACTTTAAAGCATTGTTTCTTTCAGAACTTTTGTTAACCCAATATTTTTTCTTAGTACTTGTTTTCTTGGGAAATTTTTTAACTGACTTCTTCTTGGCAACCAATTTTATTGACATCTTCTTGTCCATCTTTTGTATTGATGTCTGCTTGACAACTTCTTGTACTGAAGTCTTCTTGCTAACTTTTTGTACTGACATTGTCTTGTCGACTTTTTGTGTTGATTTCAACAAATCTTTTCTCACTAAAACTTTTTTCTTCAAGTTTCTGCTTCTAAGTTCATCGCTGGCATCAGCCGAGTCCTCATCGCTCATGTGCGACATCATATGTTTGATCAACAACTGCTTTGACACACATGAAAAGTCACACAGTGAGCAAGGGTAGGGGCTGATGGTACGGTGGCTCAGGAGATGGTGGCGTAGCTTGTCCTTGGTCTGACAGGTGAAGTCACACACCTGACAGGACAACACAGCTGACAAGTCAGTGAGACGCAGACGGTGCTGGTTTGTATCTGAGAAACATTTGTAATAACTTCCAAAGCCTGTGAGGGAGTCTTGGTTAGATGCGGCACGTGGGAGACCAAGGAAGGACTCTGGGAGGTTTGTGTGGGTGAGCATGTGCTGGTGCAGTGAATAGATCTCTTCAAAACCTTTCTCACAGATCAGGCACTCGTACAGCTGGGTTCCGGAGTGGGAGCTCAAGTGGTCATTCAGTAGCAGGATGGAGGGGTACGACATCATGCACAGGTCACATAAATATTTATCAACCACGTCATCTGAATGGGACAGTGAGGCTTGATGCTGGTTGGGTGACTTTACCTTGGGTGAAAGGATGAAAAGGTGGGTATCTGCTGCAAGTGGATGTTCAGTTTTGATGTTTTGTAAATTTGATGAGTAATCATCCTGTTCTTCTTCTCCTGCATCTGCCTGGTAATATCTTGAACGGACTTTCCAACTTGTTTCTAGAAGTCTCAACTCAGTCTTTGAGTCATTCACTTCACAACCCTTGTCATGTTCTACCACAGCAGAGCCAGAAATTGTATCCAGAGAATTTGAAACAAGAACATGTCCCTGGGTTTCCTGAGGTTCAGTGTTGGCTGAACTTGTACCAGTTGTATATGGAACAACAGTAACATGTTCCAGAACTTCCTGAGGTTCAGCACTGGCTGAACTTGTACCAGTTGTATATGGAACAACAGCAACATGTTCCAGAGTTTCCTGTGCCATAGCACTGGCTGAACTTGTACCTGTGGTGTATGGAACAGTAACATGTTCCAAAGTTCCCTGTGCTATAGCACTGGCTGAACTTGTACCTGTGGTATATGGAACAACAGTGACATGTTCCAAAGTTTCCTGTGGCATAGCACTGGCTGAACTTGTACCAGTTGTATATGGAACAACAGTGACATGTTCCAAAGTTCCCTGTGCCATAGCACTGGCTGAACTTGTACCAGTTGTATATGGAACAACAGTGACATGTTCCAAAGTTCCCTGTGCCATAGCACTGGCTGAACTTGTACCTGTGGTATATGGAACAGTAACATGTTCCAGAGTTTCCTGTGGCTCAGCACTGAACGAGCTTGAAACTGGAGCAACAGCAACATGTTCTGGAACTTGATTAAGCTGATGCTGTGTTATATGGGTCTCCTTTGGACACAAGTGACCGCCAGCGATGCCATTTCTAGTAGGAACCTGAATCGATGTAATATAGCTAGTCACTTTTCTATCGTTTCCAAGCTTGTCTATCATCCATTTCCCAGGAAAGCTTAAAGCTGACCTTTCAAAATGATCAGTTTGTCTTATGCCATCCATTATAAGCCAGTCTGTTTAGCAGTGCCTAAGTGTACCTCAGTGAACAAACATATGTCCTACATGACGCATCAAGCTGCAGTCAAGAGATGAAACTTGATTCAACACAGAGGTACTCCATCCAGCTGATGAGATCTTTTTCTCCATTGTCTCAGTTTGTCTGTAACAAGATTGCATAATTCTTTTAGATTATAAAGTCATTACAAAAAAAAATAATTGTATAAATTATTACCTTCTTTCAGCTTCTAATAGAACTAGAAATATAAATTTGGTACCAGTGTAAAGCAATTACTCAATATAATTGTATTTTATTTTTTATGATGTGATAGCAAACATATTTACCACCTTGCCATTTATAATCTCCCATTTTACCCTCAACATTACACACATTCCGTAGGCCTAGATGTTTTTTACAAGATTGTTTAAGCATCTTTTTTTCCCAAATGTTTCTTGAAATGTATGAACTTTCTGAACCCAACTCTATACACAAATTAATGTGCCCCCCCCCCCAATCCAGATTGATTGAGGCATTGTAATATACAAAAGTTTTACAAAATTAATCATGAGACGGTGTGGTCAAATGGTAGAGCCTTCTAATGCTAACACAAAAGTCTGGAGTTTGGATCTCAGGCTTAATTCTGTATGACATCCCTGAGTCCACCCAGCTCTGTACCTGACTCTTGTAAGGAAAAGTAAAGGAAGCTAGGCATAGTGCTGACCACACTATCCATTTATATCAGAGCTCAATGAAACTGTGAACTTTTCTTCACCTGTCCCATGGACCGTAAATTTCAAAAGGGTAGTTTACTTTTACATTTACTTTTATCTGAATATGTACCAATATCATCATGAACTTAAGTTTTAACATTAACGCCTATTCTTATAAGAATGCAATACAACAAACAAAAAAATAACACTGCTCTCTGGATCTATTTCCTTCTACAGTCGTAATAAATTAGTATGTTATAGTATGACGTCCTATTCCTAGTTGTATATTGACAGCCGACTGAAAACAGAATATCTTGGCTATTCACAGCTGACTGGGAATAGGCATATGAGGCTATTCACATGTGAATAGGCATATTGGGACTATTTACAGTTGACTGGGAATAGTCGTGGCCTTATTAGAACTGCTACTAGCTAGATCTTCTGTAATTGTAGTCCAAAAAATATTTAATAAATTAATAATATTAGGTCTGCATTGGCTGTAGATCTACTTTTTAAAAGCCTAGTTTTTTTTACCTTAAACTTATAATATTTTTGTAATTCATTAGATTTATAGCCTAATAGGGCCAATTAATATAGTAGGCCTATAGTACTAACAGTAGCATTATTTTATTGTTAGACTAAAAAAAAATGTAATTCATCAGACAAATTATTATTTATTGTTTAATTAATCTATATATATATAAATCTAAGGCTCCTGATTTAGGGACTATTGTAGTATTAGTACTAGTAGCCTAATTTAAAATATTTAAATGTATTTACTATTTAGACTAGCCTAGCCAAGGGCCTAGGCCTAAATAGAAATAATATTATTTAGGCCTAGGGCCTACCTAATAATTAAATATTAGGCCTAGGCCCTATTTAGTATTTACCTATTACTATTAACTATTAGGCCTACTACTACTATTAATAATTTATAAGGGGCCTAATGAACTAATGCCTAATCCTAATAATACTAGGCCCTAATAAATATATTTAATATTTACTATTTAGGGGCCTAGGCCTACCTATTACTACTATTAGCCTACCTACTAATTAGTACCATACCAGCCTACCAAAGACTACTAAAAGTGCGAGCTCTGAACTGCAAACGTGCACTTTCTTGTGTTTTACTTTTACCAAATCAAAGCTCTCACAAAGCTGCTAACGCTAAGCCAAGCCCGGACTAAGCCATTTTATTGTTTCATGCAGACAAAGCGGAAGAAAGCCGTCAAAGCGCCGCAAAAAGGACCCTAAAAAAATAAACACTGTTTAGTTTAGATCTCTAGATTTAAGATCAAGGCCATTTCAATAAATTCAATCAGTATTAAATTAAGTATTTTCTACTTAGATATGTGCTTACATTATATTTATAGATTACTAGATCTGAATCTAGTACTAGATGTATAAATATTAAATAAAGCATCCCCTACATTTCCACAGAAAATATTAGGCCCTATTTAATATTTTTTTTATTTACATTGATTTTTTCTTTAACCCGGAAACGATATTTTTGCAGCTTTAATGTAGGCTAGTGCAAAGCAGTACAGAATTAAAGCTCTTTAACTAAATGTAAACAAAACAAACCAAACAAACACAGTCTGCTAAATATCGGCTATTGCCTATAGGCCTATAGATCTATATACTATATTATAATATATATAAATATATATCTCTATTTGGTGATCTGAAAATGTTTTTTTTTTAATTGTTAGAACCGAAAATTTGATCAGGGCCCCTAATTTAAAAACATGCTTTCTATGTCAGTCTATGAGAAAAAAGCGATGGTCATTCTCAATACACCTCAATACTCAATATATTATACAATAGCAACATTGACTCATTACTCAACTCATTCATTAGGCAGGCAGAACTTTCTGAAGAGCAGAGTTTGTTTTAGACATTTCTTCGTGGAGGGGCGCATTAAACTCCCTATCAAGTACCCACTTAGAGAAACTGCACCTAATTTCACAGTTATGGCACCTTGTCTAAGAGTTATCATCCCTAATATAGTAATTTTAGAATTATGACATGGCTGATGAGTTTGGGTAAATAAAGTTCTTGATATTAATTTCAATTTTACATATTTAGGAAACAAGTTAATAAAAAGTCTAGTGACAATTTAAGCGCAATTTCCTTAATTATTTTTTTTAGAATTCACAGACCTACGTAAAAATCCTTTCGAACCTCCGCTTATTCGCTATGGTAAAATCCTTTCGAACCTCAGCGCTTTGCGCTAAAAACCTACATGATGCTCAGTTTAAATTAAAAATATCATCCTTGGCCTACAAGATGCTCAGTTTAAAATATATTTTAAAAATTTTTGTGACCGAACGAAAGGATATTTTTGAAAACTTTCTTCGGCAATATTGTTCTAAATTATGACAGGAATCGATTGGTAAATGTTTCAAGTCGCTAAGTGGTCTGGTTGCCGAGATATGGAGCAAACATGTGTTCGAGGTTTTTTGGCTTTTCCGGGAAATCCAGGAAGGAATTCCGGGAATTTTTTTGGCCTATGTTCATCCTCGGAACTTGCTTAACATATTTGCTTTTGGAACTAGTCCTCGATATTGCTTCGTTGAGGAGGAGATACGACTTAAAGCTGCGGACACACATCCATCCATCCATCCATCTAGAAATGACGAGTTAATAATCGCAATCCCAGTATGGAAATTGCGCTAAAAAATAAATCTTATACAGCAATTTGATTTCTCAATAAATAATTTTATTAAATGCTAATCAGAATATGGAAGCTCAAACAAAATGACATCTGTTTCAATGTTCGTATCACAGGCACAGTAAGAAACGACAACACCTTATGTGTATCAAAACAAGTCATATCATGTGTTATGTATAGATGCTGCTCCACCAAATCTCAGGACAAAATATTTCGTTTATGTTACAATGGATGATGCTCCACCAAATCTCAGGACAAAATGTCTTGTTTATGTTACAATGGATGATGATCCACCAAATCTAAGTCAAAATGTCTTGTTTATGTTACAATGGATGATGCTCCACCAAATCTCAGGACAAAATGTCTCGTTTATGTTACAATGGATGATGATCCAACGTAATCTCAAGACAAAGTGTCTTCAGTAACAATGGATGCTGCTCTCCCACTACTTAGAGTGTGGTCAGCTTCTTTACAATTGTCATATTAACATAATCAGTGATGTAAAAAAACTTTAATACAGCAAATAAATAATGAACAACATCAGTATTTGGTGCTCCATTTATCCAGAGAGCTTCTGGCTACCTCTGCCTCAGGATAGAAAAAAAACAAACCTATGTAGGCATTGACCTTGACATTGGTGTTCTTGAAGATAACAGTCTCGGGTGCTCATTTTGTTTGGAATGTGTCTGACCTTGACATTGGTGTCCTAGATGATAACAGTTCTGGGTGCTCATTTTGTTTGGAATGTGTCTGACCTTGACATTGGTGTCCTTGAAGATAACAGTCATGGGTGCTCATTTTGTTTGGAATGTGTCTGACCTTGACATTGGTGTCCTATATGATAACAGTCCTAGGTGCTCATTTTGTTTGGAATGTGTCTGACCTTGACATTGGTGTCCTAGATGATAACAGTCTCTGGTGCTCATTTTGTTTGGAATGTGTCTGACCTTGACATTAGTGTCCTAGATGATAACAGTCTCTGGTGCTCATTTTGTTTGGAATGTGTCTGACCTTGACCTTGGTGTCCTAGATGATAAAAGTCTCGGGTGCTCATTCAGTTTGGAATGTGTCTGACCTTGACCTTGGTGTCCTAGATGATAAAAGTCTCGGGTGCTCATTCAGTTTGGAATGTGTCTGACCTTGACATTGGTGTCCTAGATGATAAAAGTCTCGGGTGCTCATTCAGTTTGGAATGTGTCTGACCTTGACCTTGGTGTCCTAGATGATAACAGTCTCGGGTGCTCATTTTGTTTGGAATGTGTCTGACCTTGACATTGGTGTCCTAGATGATAAAAGTCTCGGGTGCTCATTTTGTTTGGAATGTGTCTGACCTTGACATTGGTGTCCTAGATGATAACAGTCTCTGGTGCTCATTTTGTTTGGAATGTGTCTGACCTTGACATTGGTGTCCTAGATGATAACAGTCTCGGGTGCTCATTTTGTTTGGAATGTGTCTGACCTTGACATTGGTGTCCTAGATGATAACAGTCTCTGGTGCTCATTTTGTTTGGAATGTGTCTGACCTTGACATTGGTGTCCTAGATGATAACAGTCTCTGGTGCTCATTTTGTTTGGAATGTGTCTGATCGCGTCTGCCCCAGGAAAGCCCCCATAAAGAGGGTGGCCTTGACATTGGTGTCCCGGATGATGAACAGGAACGGCCTGTTGACGTCCAGCCAGACCTCACCACTGAGGCCACCGCTGTGGAGGAAAGGTTGCCATGGTTACAACTGTTGGAGTTGATCATGCTCATGTAATTTAACTTCAGTGGCGTAGCGAGGTCGGGTGTCACCCGGTGCGGCACTTATTGGTGTCACCCCCCCCCCCCCCCAGAGGCGTAGCGACCCTTCCCATGGACATACTTTCAAATTTTCGATTTGCACCCCCTCCAACTTTCGATTTGCATCCACCCCCCTCAAACTTTCGATTTGCAGCCCCCCCCCCCTCAAATTTTTCTCTATATATTTTGCTATTTTTTGCCTTGGTGTCACCCCCCCCTAAATGGTGTCACCCGGTGCGGTCCGCCTCTGTTTAACTTAATCAAGTTCATGTATTTTAACAATATCAAATTCATCTAACTTAACTTGATCATATTCATGTAAATTAACAAGATCAAGGTGAAGTAAATTAACTTTAACAGACTAGACAGCGATGAGGAAGATGAAGTAGAGTTCAGATATCTGTGAATTTTGTACTTATGATTTAACAATTTGTTTTATTTTACTATTATTTACTCAATTTTTTGTAAGATTTCTGCTAACTAGAAGTGCAGAGCACCTGCCAACACATCAGTTTGCTCATAAGTATAAACATCAATGGCTTTGCAATAGCCCTTTAATGAATATGTAACAAGATTTTATCTTAAAATATTATGATTCTTATTGAATAAAAAACCATTTTTTGAAGCATTAAATTGAGCTGTGTATAAGTGATCGTAAAGACACATTGTTTGTTATTATATTGATTAGTAATAATGCTCTATGTCATAGTAACAAAATAGATTACTGTCTACATCACTAAAACAATTCTTTGTTTGTTTTTTAGGTGACAGGAAAAATGATCTCATGAAAAAAGTATCTCTCATGCCAGAGATCATTTGTCCTGGAACCTTTTTTCTAGTGTTTTTTTTTAAGGCTTTTATTACTTTTACTATAAACCTGTGGCTCTGCAAATATTTGAATATTAATTGAACCCACTTTCCACTTTTTGTTTAACCTGAAGTTTGGTGCAGTGGTAGATCGTAATTTACAATGCAAGAATATCTCAATTTTAATCTAATTACAGAGACAGTTTAATTTTAAAATTGCTATATTCAAGCACTATGTATGTAGAGTTAAGAACGAAAGGGAGATAACAAGATAAAATAAAACACAATCAATCGCTTGATCGGTAGAGGGCCATCGAGGATGTTTTCACGGATGGCTGATTTCGTGCCCTGTTGTAAACCACACACTTAATAGGGGCAGATAACTGAATTTTAGAGATCACAAGCTAACTAGCCGGATTTGAATGCAAATATTTTTAGTCCTAGCCTATGTAGTGTCAACTTCATTTTGAACGAATGACTAAAAAGTGGAAAATAATTCTCAAATGTTAATAATCATTTTTAAGTGAAAAAAGCTTTCAATATAATTACAAATCACAAAACAAAAATCACAAATGAAAAATAATGCACTAAAAAGTAAAAAAAAAAAATTAGTTTGCCTAACTAAAAATAAAAACCTGGGCGCTTACTAATGGAGAATACTTTACATTTTATAGGGAGTAGATTGATAGGTATAGGTATACGTCATATAACATTATAAAAGACCTTTGTTTAAGTTTCATCATTGAGGGCCAGGCTATTTTTTATTTTATTTCTTAATGTAATAAAACCCTTTTCCCTTAAAAATGTTTGTGTGTGTGTGTGTGTGAAATTACTCTACCTTAATGCGAAACGCTAATGATTGTCCAGCCTACTGCTTACAAAAATAGTTAGTACTACATGACTATTTTTAGCACGCTTTATTAAGCAACCCCCTCCCACACACTGTCGTAAAAATTATTCTTACACAACCTGGGATTCGTATAGTCTACTAGGGGTCTGACTGACGTTGATGATGTAACACACGGTACGCCTAATGGGTGTAGCACGTTTTGTCAAAACGGAAATAGCACTTCAACACCACAACGTAAAGCGACGAGCTACTGTTTCAATCACAGTTAGAGCATACTCAGACAGCTACAGCTAAAAGTGATGTTCTACTCACGTCAAAAACATGACGTACTATTCACGTCAAAACCATGACGTTCTACTCACACCAAAAACATGACGTACTACTCACATTAAATATATGACGTACTACTCACATTAAAAATATGACGTACTACTTACATAAAAAATATGACGTACCACTCACATCAAAACCATGACGTACTACTCATACCAAAAACATGACGTACTTACATCAAAACCATGACGTACTATTCACACCAAAAATATGACGTACTACTCACACCAAAACCATGACGTACAACTCACATCAAAATCACTACGTACTACTCATACCAAAAACGTGATGTACTTCTCACACCAAAACATGACGTACTACTCACACCAAAAATATGACGTACTACTCATATCAAAAACCATGACGTACTACTCACACCAAAACCATGACGTACTACTCAAACCAAAACCATGACGTACCACTCACACCAAAACCATGACGTACTACTCACACCAAAACCATGACGTACCACTCACACCAAAACCATGACGTACCACTCACATCAAAACCATGACGTACTACTCATACCAAAACCATGACGTACTTACATCAAAACCATGACGTACTATTCACACCAAAAACATGACGTACTACTCACACCAAAACCATGACGTACAACTCACATCAAAATCACTACGTACTACTCATACCAAAAACGTGATGTACTTCTCACACCAAAACATGACGTACTACTCACACCAAAAATATGACGTACTACTCATATCAAAAACCATGACGTACTACTCATACCAAAACCATGACGTACTTACATCAAAACCATGACGTACTATTCACACCAAAAATATGACGTACTACTCACACCAAAATATGACGTACCACTCACGCCAAAACCATAACATACCACTCACACCAAAACCATGACGTACCACTCACGCCAAAACCATAACATACCACTCACACCAAAACCATGACGTACCACTCACGCCAAAACCATAACGTACTACTCACACCAAAACCATGACGTAATCACACCAAAACCATGACGTACTCACAACAAAACCATGACGTGCTCACAACAAAACCATGACGTACTCACAACAAAACAATGACGTACTTACATCAAAACCATGACGTACTTACATCAAAACCATGACGTACTACTAAAACCAAAACCATGACGTACTTACACCAAAACCATGACGTACTCACAACAAAATCATGACGTACTACTGACGTCAAAACATGACGTACCACTCACACCAAAACCATGACGTACCACTCACACCAAAACCATGACGTACTCACACCAAAACCATGACGTACTCACACCAAAACCATGACGTACCACTCACACCAAAACCATGACGTACTCACACCAAAACCATGACGTACTCACACCAAAACCATGACGTACCACTCACACCAAAACCATGACGTACTACTCACACCAAAACCATGACGTACTACTCACACCAAAATCATGACGTACCACTCACACCAAAACCATGACGTACTCACACCAAAAACATGACGTACTACTCACACCAAAACCATGACGTACCACTCACACCAAAACCATGACGTACTCACACCAAAAACATGACGTACTACTCACACCAAAACCATGACGTACCACTCACACCAAAACCATGACGTACTCACAACAAAACCATGACGTACTACTCACACCAAAACCATGACGTACCACTCACACCAAAACCATGACGTACAACTCACACCAAAACCATGACGTACTACACACACCAAAACCATGACGTACCACTCACAACAAAACCATGACGTACTCACAACAAAACCATGACGTACTCACAACAAAACCATGACGTACTACTCACACCAAAACAATGACGTACTCACACCAAAATCACGACGTACTACTGACGTCAAACCATGACGTACCACTCACACCAAAACCATGACGTACTACTCACATCAAAGCCTTCCCGACGACCGTGACGGCCGCCGCCACACACCCGTCCTCGTTGACCTGAATGTACGACTTCTGCTTGACACTCTGCACGTGCATGTTGGCGTCACTGATGCGTGAAAAATCAGCCTACTTGTGGAGAGGTTTGAAATGTTTTAATATTACCTTACCTGATATTAGACATTAAAATATTAAAAAGACCCCCCCCCCCCCTCCCCCCAAAATAAAAAATAAATAAATCAGCCTACTTGTGGAGAGGTTTGAAATGTTTTAATATTACCTAAACTTGATCTTAGACATTAAAATATTAAAGACACCCCCAAAACCCAATAAAAAAAATAAATCAGTTGCTAAAAGGATCTAAGGCTTTTAAAATAACATTTAACAATTTATTGTGAAAAAACAAAAACGTTCTTCGTATTTATAAGGAGGCACTAAACAGATGCAGAAATGATCATGTGAGACTACATAACATTTTTATTCATGGTTCTCGAGGCGGTAAAATATTCACAATGTAAAGTTCGTTTTTCAATGTGTCGGGATAGGACAGGGGTCGGCAACCTGCGGCTCGCGAGCCGCATGCGGCTCTTTTGATATCAAGATGCGGCTCTCCAGCTCCTTGCACAAATACTAATAATCTTAATAAAATAATAAAATATTTGAAATTAAAAAGTGTTAGTGGCTCTTTAAAACCAGGGATCTTTTGAAAATTGTAACTTTTGGCTCTTCCGCTTCAAAAGGTTGCCGACCCCTGGGATAGGACGTTCTAAAAGAGAAACTTTTGCTGAATTTGTCTGTGTGTTTAAAGGTCTGTGTCTTTGTATGCATGAATGCATATGTGTGCTGGTCTGTGTGTGTGTGTGTGTTCATCTGGTTGTGTGGATGCGTTTGTGTATGTGCATACATGCCTGTGTGCAGTCTATCTTTGTGTGGATCTGGGTATGTGTGTGTGTGTGTGGGTCTGGATATATATATATATATATACATATATATATATATATATATATATATATATATATATATATATATATATATATATATATATATATATATATATATATATAGTATATTTTGATTGATGCATATGTGTGGTCTATCTGACTAAGCTGTTCTGTGTGAGACGGCTGACCACTGACCACAGAAGACAACTGACCACTGACCACAGAAGACAAACTGACCAACCAGAACTGACCACAGAAGACAACCACTGACCACTGACCACAGAAGACAAACTGACCACAGAAGACAAACTGACCACTGACCACAGATGACAAAATGACCACAGAAGACAAACTGACCACTGACCACTGACCACAGAAGACAAACTGACCACAGAAGACAAACTAACAATTGACCACTGACCACAGAAGACTAACTGACCACAGAAGACAAACTGACCACTGACCACAGAAGACAAACTGACCACTGACCACAGAAGACAAACTGACCACTGACCACAGAAGACAAACTAACAATTGACCACTGACCACAGAAGACTAACTGACCACAGAAGACAAACTGACCACAGAAGACAAACTGACCACTGACCACAGAAGACAAACTGACCACAGAAGACAAACTGACCACAGAAGACAAACTGACCACTGACCACAGAAGACAAACTGACCACTGACCACAGAAGACAAACTGACCACTGACCACAGAAGACAAACTGACCACAGAAGACAAACTGACCACTGACCACAGAAGACAAACTGACCACAGAAGACAAACTGACCACTGACCACAGAAGACAAACTGACCACTGACCACAGAAGACAAACTGACCACAGAAGACAAACTGACCACTGACCACAGAAGACAAACTGACCATAGAAGACAAACTGACCAGGACAGGATCAAAAAGTTTCCTCAGTCCTAAGCTTGTGAGCGGCTCTACCAGGTCTACACTGCCCGTCTCTATGGTGAACCTGGGCAGTGTGAGCGCCACGTACTTCTCTTCAAGGTCGTCCAGCAACGACTCCAGGGGGTGGATGGGGTGGCCCTGGGTGTCGTTCAGGAACTGGGGAAGAAATTTCGAGAAAATTAAAAATGTCTTTGGTGGCATTTTGTTGGATGGCAGTGCTGTGTAAAAAACAGTAAAAGGTTAGTGGTCAGATAAAGGTAAATGGTGGGTAAACGATTAGTGAAAGTCCAAAGGTATGTGAACAGTTAAAGGTAAGTTGACACTCCAAAGGTAAGTGGTCATTGAAGAGTAAGTGGACACTCCATAGGTAAGTGGACTGTCAAAGGTAAGTGGACAGTCAAAGGTAAATGGACAGTCAAAGGTAAGTGGACAGTCAAAGGTAAGTGGTCATTGAAGGGTAAGTGGACAGTCAAAGGTAAGTGGTCATTGAAGGGTAAGTGGACAGTTAAAGGTAAGTGGTCATTGTAGGGTAAGTGGACACTCCAAAGATTCTCTTCTTGTGTGAGAGGTCAGTCTCATGCTCGCGATCACTGACCTTGAACTTACTTCTAGCAGCTGGACGAGGCTGGAGTTGACCCCGGGGAGGAGGACGTACATAGCGAGGACGTCCCCCTCAAACATCAGCTCCACAACCTCCGTGTCGTAGTGGTTGGCGTACCTGAGGTAGGAAGTGACGTCATGAGTGCCAGCCATATACAACATAGTAATAATTACAAGCAGATGCGTAGCGAGGGGGCGGAGCGGAGGTGCGGACCGCACCGGGTGACACCATTTAGGGGGGTGACACTAAGGCAAAAAGTAGTAAAATATATAGAGAAAAATTTGAGAAGGGGGGTGCAAATCGAAAGTTCGAGGGGTGGGGGTGCAAATCGAAAATTGAAAGTTTGACCCCGGGAAGAGTGGCTAAGCCTCTGGGGGAGGGGGTGACACCATTAAGTGCCGCACCGGGTGACACCCGACATCGCTACGTCACTGATTACAAGACATTTTTATGTTTGATTTTTTATAAATATTGGCTGCCTAATATAGCAATTATATGACATTTTAATCTAAGAATTAATACTAATAGTTTCGCTGTCTGTGTATCTATCTATGTATCTATGTATCTATCTGACAAGAACGCTCTAGAGAAAACACAAGCAATTTAAAAACTTTCACAGTGAAACGAAAACGAAATATGACGTCACATTTAGCATATAGTAGAAAATAATATCAAGCCGGAGAGTGCACACAGTAATATGACGTCATTAATTCTTGGGTAAACATTGAATAAAAAGGCAATTTTTTTCTAATCTAAGTGGGTTGCGTGAAGAGTTTCTTTCATACAATTCTTCGGGTAGGGGCGAAGCCACACCCCCGCGTAAGAACGTCTAAGCCCCCCCCCCCCCCCCTCCCCAACTCAAAAGAAATTTCTTCATCGATACTCTATAATAAAATTACCGCCTAATTAACGTGTCTAATCTAAAAAGTAGTTTTCTTGCAATTTCTTTAATGCAATTCTTCGGGTAGTGGCTAAGCGCGACACCAGTGTTTCTTTCAGACTTTTTCCTCCCCGGAGGAAGGAACTTTTTCTAATCTAAAAAGTGTTTAGCGTGCAGTTTTTTTTTTCAAGCATCTCTTCCGGTAGGGGCGAAGCCCCGCCCAGATTCTTCCTTTAGTTTGTATGATCTACAAATGCGACCAGTGTTTCGTTCAGACTTTTTCCTCCACGGAGAGGGGTGGGGGGTACTTGACATTTTCGGGGGCGGGGGTAGAATTTTCTGGGAGGAGGCGGACACTGGAAAAAGTATATAATTATATTTCGTTGAATGGGACGGTAGACGTGTTTTGGAGTGTCTGTGTGTGGGGGGGGGGGGGGGGGGGAGGGGGGCGAAGCCCCCTCCTCCCAAGTAGAGTTGCCTGAAAGAAACTCTAAATGCGACTTTTGTTATGAATGAGATTAGGTGCATGTTTTAGGGATATGCCTATGACTATATTTTGTATAAATTAAAGTACCGAGAAAATAGACAGCACTATCAACCTAGCGCCCGTTGTATTCTTCCTCAACGGGCCATTTTTCTCGTGTTATAAATATTGATAGCGAAATTTAACATTCCATGACATTTTTAAAATATTGAAAGCCATTTATAAATTCTTTTACCATTTTCGTCTAAGAATTTTCTATACAAAATGTATACAGCCAAAGAAAAATTACTGTGACATTCGATGGAAGTTAGGTATTGCCCGGAAATAAAAATTACTTTGACAGTAATGTAATTCTTATTTAGAAAGTGTACAGCTGACTGTAACTAATATTATTATTCTTCGATTCATCTATTTAAACATGTACAACCAAATAATAACTAAATTCATAAATGTTTTATTCCATAACGAAATCACGAAAACCAAACGAAGACCACAGGGGATAAACTACAGTTGTCACAGTTTTTTACTTTTGAAAAAAAATTAGATTTTGTGTTTCTGATCCTTTGCTGTTCAATTGTGGCATGATTTTAAAATCCTAAATATTAAGGGGATCAAGGTGGTTTTATGCTTTCATATTGTTGTATGTGATAGATATGAGCTAGCACTACACGAATGAGGCACTCTCAAAAAATTTCACCAAGTGGACACCTGTGGTTTACCCCGTGTGGCCTTGAAATGTCAAATGTCAACCTGACCTGAACACTTTAGATTGAAATGTCAAATGTCAACCTGACCTGAACACTTTAGATTGACATGTCAAATGTCAAGCTGACCTGAACACTTAGATTGAAATGTCAACATGTCAAGCTGACCTGAACACTTTAGATTGAAATGTCAAATGTCAACCTGACCTGAACACTTTAGATTGAAATGTCAAATGTCAAGCTGACCTGAACACTTTAGATTGAAATGTCAAAATGTCAAGCTGACCTGAACACTTTAGATTGAAATGTCAAATGTCAACCTGACCTGAACACTTTAGATTGCCGCATACTAGGCACCATCTTAACACCAGCACCGGAAGTGTTGAACGGCATGTCCACGGTCAGACCTTCCTGGAACTTGTGCTTCCACTGGACGTTGAGGAACCATGGCGTTGACCAGCATCAAGGCTGGTGTAGGGGGTGATGGCCCCAGGCTCCAGAACGTCCATGACCTTGCCCCGGGTCACCGAGGCGATCCACTCGTTGATGGCCCAGTTCCGGCGGGTTCCTGCCCGTCAGCACTGGCATCTGCGTGATGTTCGTGTTGGCTAGTTCTTCCACCTGTCTAGGGTGAGAAGGTTTGACATTTATATCACAGAGGCGTAGCGACCCTTCCCGGCGCCCGGGGACAAAACTTTTCAATTTGGCGCCCCCCCTCCCCCATTTTTTTTATATTTATAGTTCAAAATAGCAGCTCATATGAGGTTATTTTGGCGCCCCTATGGTCGGCGCCCGGGGACATATGTACCCCCCCCCCCGTCCATACGCCTCTGTTATATCATCAACACTTTTTTTCGTCGTCCTTCGTGGACGATGTGTGATGGGCTGCGATAGACAGGGGAGGGGTTGTGCTAAAAAGATGTAGCAAAATACTTTGTATATTTTAATTCAAATTGATTTTAAAACACAAAATTTCGATTGAAGTATCTTGAAATTAGTGCGGGGAAGTGGGGGGGGGGATAAAACTTTAAAAACAAAAAACCTTATGGACAGAGTTTCTTCTAGGCATCTCTTCCCCCCCCCCCACCCCACCCCCCCCCCCCCCCACCCCCGAAGAAAGTCTACCCCCCCTCCCCGAACGAGATGGAATTTATGTAGAAAACCATATACTTTTACCAGTGTCCCCCTCCTCCCCGAAAAATGTACACCGCCCCCCCCCCCCTCGAGAACATCAAGTGTCCCCCCCCCCCCCCCCGAGAAAAAAACTGGAAGAAACACTGCTTATGGAGCGCACACTTTTTTGTTGCTGATTTTGTTACACTCACTGCCAAATATTAATAAACTTCATGTTCGAATTTTTGAAAATTTCGAATTAAAAAAACTGTAATTTATACAGTTTTTTTACAGATTTAATTAATTAAAAAAATATATAAAATTATGAAGTGACTAGTAGGCTAATTACCTGAACTTAGCTTTAATGTTGAGTCTAAATTTAACGAAAATAACATTGGCACTGACAAGGTCTGTGTTAGGCAGACGTGACCATCCTCTCTCAAGGTCCCGGTAAGCCTCTAGGATTTGCAGTCGTGATACCCCAGCCCAGAGCAGGCCTGAAATAAAACATACAGTAACTCTAGAAACTGTTTACAACTTAATTACATTTATGACATAAAATATAAAAGACAAAACTTAAATCTGTAATTTTTTCCGTGCAACGAAATCAACAACACACTTTTCTACTTTTTCTTCGTATGCAGTTT